TTTGGGAAGCGAAGCAAAGCAAAGCAAAGCGTGCGGAGTTCCCGCGGTCGCTACGGCGCGGTGCAGCCTGCTCGCGAACTGCGCGGATTTGCACATTACAACATGTGCCGCATACCGAGCTCAGCCCGCCGTGCCTAGAGACACTGACAGCATCGACTTTAAGGTGTTTCAGTCGTCGTCGGTAGGTTGAGATTCTTAACCTTACGGCGAGCAGGGTTGGTTTTTGGTTTTTTTCTTTTTTCTTTTTTTATGGTTTAACCGAATTAATTTAGTCCGGTTATTTTTAGGACATTCCTATGCTCCCTGTTTGCACAGCAGTGGTGAGCTGGTTTCCTGTCTGCTGTTGCTTCCATTGTTCAGACTTCTCTCCCCCAGGGCAGCTGCTGGTTGGTGAAATACCAAACTCCCTGCACTTTCAACTGTTGTTCTTGCCACCCCCGAAATAAATGCGTGTGAAAAACGCTGACGTAGTTTCTAGGTATGCATGTGTAGGGCTTTGTGTGTGTGTGTGAGGGAGAGAGGGGGGAAAAGATCTTCTGCTTGGAGGGTTGCAAGTCCTGGGCTGAAACAATGGAAACAATGAAAGGTGACAGGCGGGAGGGAGAACTTTTGAGAGGGGCCGTGGGCCTGGGGTTTGCGTGGCAGAAATTAAAAGGTGAGGAGACAAAGACGGAAACTTTTAAAAAGATGTTAGGGCTAGGGTGCCTTTGTTTTATTAAAGGTTGGGCTTGTAGTTATTTGTGACCTCCTGGCATTTGAGGCTCATTCAAGAAGTTTCAAAGAGTGACTTTGTTACAGATTTCTTGCTTGCACTCCTAGAAAAATCCCCTTTAAAGAAAAAAATGTATAGCGTAGCCAAGTCTGGCTGCTTTAGAAGTGATAGAGCACAAGCTGTGAAATGCAGAGGAAAACAAATAAGCTGGTTCCTCAATTTTGAAACTTATTCAGAGGAAAAAGTTTGGGTTTTTTGTTTTTGTTGTGTATTTTTTTCCTGTGGAAATTCCCTTCTGCATCCGTGTAGTTCTTGATTACTTATGAATAATTGTAAACTAATTTATTTTTGTTGTTGGTTTTTAAAATCACATTAAATTTTAGTTAGGTTATTTTGTTTGTGTGTTGGATTTTTTTGTTGTTTTGGGGGCTTTTTTTTTTTCTTTTTTTCTTTAGCTAACAGTTTGTGGATTAAAACCCCGAGGACTCTTCTGTGGATAGTTTCATTTACAAATAATAGCGTGATAGCAATCACACTGAACGTATTCAGCTTGTTAATTAGCTGATTTAGAATACAGTCTCGCAAAGACACAGGCATGTGCTCAAGTTTATACATGTGAGGAATCCTACTGAGCTCGGTTACAACAGGATCAGGGCCTTAGGTGGGAACTGGTTCTGTTTATCTGTGCTCATAAAAAAAATCCGGCTTAAGAAATTCAGAGAACCCTAAGGGGGTGGGAGGCTTTTCCATAAGGTGATTTTTGTCCATCCCCTCTGTGGAGGGCAGAGATTGTTCCTTGTGGTATACTTTGTCCTGTTTTGAATAACAATCAGCTGCTGCCACTTCCTCTGTGCAGCTCTTCCTCGACACAATGGGATAGTTGGGTGGTTTTTTTTTTTCCTGATAGCCTAAATTTTTCATTTGCTTAACTTCCATTTCATTTGTCTCAGCCTCTCTAAATACTTTGTCCTCCCACTCAAAGCATTTCAGTATGCCTTCTTAAGTAGTAGTAGTTTATTTTGAAATCAACTTTAGTCATCACTTTACTTTTACTCAAGTTGTTTCAATCTGTTAGTGGTCGGGTGTTGAGCCTAGACTCGAGATCCTAGGTGTAATCTTTCCTGAGCTGATTACGGGAGGACCTGTAAAATCTTTGGGCTGTGATACGACGCAACAGTGCGTTCAGTCATGTATATGACTTCAGCTGGGAAGCCAGGAGGATAAAGTAATTTGTAAAGAAGGGATGCTGATCATACAGTTCTTAGGTCATTAATAGCATGGACTGCTTATCTAAGTGGTGATGGCAGGAGTGGAGAACTGGGATTTTGTATTGTTTCTCAGACCTCTCTGCCAATGAACTCGTACTGCTTTAAGTTAGTCCCATAAAAGCAGTTTCTCTGTTCAGATTAAACATATTTAGGAGAAGATGTAAAATCACCTGGCGTTAGCCTGCTTTTAAGACTAAGTAAATTAGTAGGTCAGCTGGGGCTACTCGTTGTGTCCACAAGCCTTTATTCTGGGTGTAAATAACAGTAAGCCAATGGTCCGGCGGTGGAGCCTAGCCAGAAGCCTTTTCAGTTGGGCCCTGTTAAAACAGGAAACCAGCAGCGAATAGCCTGATTACTAACAAGACGGAAAAACAAAGCTGGGTTGTAATCAGCAGGTGCTTTAATGAAAACAGAGCCTTGACAGCAACAACGTGGCTCCTGCTCTAGTAAAAAAATATCAGCTGGGGTAGTGCGAGATTTCTAGCCACGACTTCCTGCTGCTGCTCGCGCCGCGCCGTGCCGGGGAGATGTGCCGCGAGTTCAGAGGGCCGATCATCTATTTAAATGAGCTCATTTAAATGAGGAGAAGTTGTACTACACTGGGTTTCCTGCTTAACCAAAACCTGCTTTGTGTCACTAACTTACTGTGTCAATTAATATGACATACTAAGCGAGCGGGTCAAAGGGCAGGCTCTGCTGTTGACTCATTTCTTGCTAGGCAGGTTACGGTTAGTCAGACGGCAACTTTTACTTTAGCAAAAGATCTTGTTTGCAAAGTAGAGAAACGTTTTTATGCTGCTGGCTTTCAGACAGGATTTTGTCACTTCTGTTTTTTGGGTGAAAAAGAGCAACAGTTCTAGAAGTTGTTTTGCTGTCAAATCAGTTCTCTCCAATTCGGAGAGGTGCCTGTCGAGTCTTTTAGCTGTATGATAGATCTTATTAGAGAGGTTGCTCCAGATGGGGTGGTGTGTGTCCAGCAGACTCCTTGTGATGCCACGTAAATATGGCTCCCAAGCCATTAGACACCTAACTTTCTCATAGGAGTAGTTTCTTCGGCTTCTCTTCCCTCTTATTTCCAGCCCTCAATGTCTGCCTCTCCCTGTTTTCCAAGGTCCTGTCTTGCTGCCTATTATATTTAAAAACAAACAAAAAACCCAACCCACTGAAGTGCTGCAACACTTCTGGTTTCTGACAAACAAGAACAGTGCGCTTGAAAACATTGTCTGAATAGCGTAGGCTAGTTTTAACTAGTTTTAAAATTCAATTTAAAAGGGATGAGCTGCTTTGCAGAGCCATTGTGTTGTCTGTGCAGGATCTTTGTTCCCAGAAGTGCTCCTCATGGCTCCAGGAGCCCGTTGTGCAAGGCGTGTGCTTAGGTTGGGTTGCAAGTGTGACAGCACTTTCCGTGAAGCCATGACAAATGTCCAGCAGTTTGCTCGGAATCATTTTAAAGCAAACTTGACATACTTTCTACATGAATTAAGAACTTGTTTACATAATTTGGAGTTTATCTTGTGTTGGCTATTTAAATATTGTCCTATTGTTCCTGTTCCATGACTGGGTAATTTATGTAGCTAATCATCACAGGGAAAATTTGATATGTCAGTTTGGTTTTTGTTGGTTACATAAATCAGCAGTTGGGAGAATGAAAACAATACTGAGTAAGTTACTGAAGTAACTACGCCAGACAAATTGCAGATTGATCATCCTGCTGGGAGTGCTTGCATGTTAAAAATGCATTGAAATTTGGACAACTTAAGCTAAATTTGAGGATGCTGGAGCTGTTCATAAATAGGGGAAAGAAAGAATAATTCACCATGTCAGCTTTGGCTAAACTTTGAAAGTGTGGGGAGAGGTCCTCCCCCCCCTCCCACACCCCCCCAATTATTAAGCAAAACTTGGACACACCCCCCTTTTTCCATTTTGGTTGTTGTTCTTAAATGACATTAATTCCTCCTGTTTCTTTACTTATGGATATAACTATAGCTTTATATAGTTTTATACTTACACTGGCACACTTCTCATATTTCAGGGCTGACTTTGTTTCCTTACACAGAATTTTTGAACTATGGGTGGTTGCCCACATAAAAATTTTACATTTGACATTTAAGTTGTTTTTACTACTAAGGTTTTTAGTTTAGATGTTATGAATAAGCAAGTTGTGTCGTGTTCCTCCCCACCCCCCGCCAAGTTCAAAACACAGAAAGATTAAGGGCTTGTTTTCCTTCTATAGTTTCTAGAAAATGCTTCTGAAAGCCAGTATAATTTCACTTGAAATCAGTATTTAATTGTACTTTTGAAAATGGGTGGTATCTTATTTGGATTTATATATAGTTTGTAAGATTCCTAAAATTTCTGATGAGCTTAACCTGGTGAGTATTTACAACATGGTTTTCTTTGTATTTTACAGTGCTATTTGTTTCCTCATGACTTTTATATCCTACCAAAGCAATAGAACTGTAGTCTTCCTAACTTTGTATACTTGTTTTTTTGGTTTTGCTTCTTTTTTCTTTTTGTTTTATTTACATACTATAGCTTCAGGTTACTAGTAGTGTGGTGTATATATAAAGGGATAATCAAATTTTGAAATCTGTTCCTTCCTTTGTGTTGAAGGAAAAAGGTATGCAGTGAGCTTGTAAATCTGGAGCCTTTGTAGTAAGCGTAGCACAGAACACACATTTCCACAGATGAAAATACGAGATGAAAACCATGAAGTTGAAAAAAACAACCAGGATGCAAAGTGGTACTTCTAAAACAAACAAACAAACCCACCCACCCAAGTGCTAAATGATTGTGGTTCTTTGATTTAGGAGTGCACTTAAATTACAGAAGTCCATCTCCTGATAAACTGGTGGACTCTTACATGAGTTAGGCATCTGGTTCTTTCCTTTTCCTGCACTTTTTTTTTCTTCACTTAGGAAGTGAAAAACCACTTGGGGGTGGGAGCAGACACAATTTTTCCCTTTCTTCTTTTCTTGTTCCATTAGTTTTTATTAATAGATCTGGAATGAGCTATTATTTATAAAATCTACCAGCTCTCTCTCCCAGGAGGGAAGCATTGGCACGTTAAGAAGTAATTAAATAACCCATTGCTGGAGTTGGGTGTTTTAAGTTCTTGCTTATTGACCTTTTGCCCAGCCACTGGATAGTTATCCTTGAAGAAAAGTGTTGGATGCATACCACAGCAAGCAAATTTGGACAATATTGGCATTAGATTGAAGCTATCTGATAACATGCAGCAGATAAAAGGTTGCCAGGGGAACAAGAAAATGAGGGTTTGCGGAGAAGAATTCCCCTAGGAACAGATCATTGGTGCTACTTTTTGTTCAACTGACAGAAAAGCTACAGCTTGACAAGTTAATGCTACAGGACAAATCTCCTGTATAGGAGGCTATACCAGGATTCATAGTAAAGACAGTTAACGTAATAAAAAGTGTCTGAACCATAGAATGCTGGAGCTGAGTAGTTTACGGATTTAAGAGGCTGATTGTTCTTGTCTTCTTATAATTGTAGGTGTAGTTGCAATATCAGGCAGTGAAACGGAGGATGATGACACTATGGATGTCCCACTGGATCTTTCCTCATCTGCTGGCTCAGGCAAACGGAGGAGACGTGGCAACCTGCCCAAGGAATCCGTGCAAATTCTTCGGGACTGGCTGTATGAGCACCGATACAACGCTTATCCTTCAGAGCAAGAAAAAGCGCTGTTATCCCGACAGACACACCTTTCCACACTACAGGTATTCAAAAAAGTAGTTCTCGCTTCAAAAGGAGCTGTTTTCTGTTTTCTTCTTAATTTACCTGTGGTCTAGTCACGGATACAAATGTTTACACTGCATGTGAGATGTCCTTTTTTATTGTTATTCTCCTTCTGATGGCACTTTTAAGGAGAAATACAAATGAATTGTGTGTTACGATGATCTTTGTTTACTGGGAATAAAATCACTTCTCTGGGAGAACAGACAGTCATGAATTTGAGCACACATGATAATTTTTGCAGAATCGGGGCCCAGAAGACATAAAGTGTCAGTATAAGGTAATTTATTGTGAGAAGGTGGTATTTATTTGTCAACACAGGTTTTATGGTGATAGATACGCAGCTTAACATATAACTTCACTTCTAAAACTGCGACTTGAGGCTCATTCCTGTAGAACGTGCACATATATAATTATGTGTATGATGACTTCCAGTAAGATCAGTGGGACAACCTAGATGGAATAGAGCTACTCAAGTGTGTTAGTATAGGTATGATGAGGCTTTTGTATGGTTAGTTTGGATTCTCATCCCGGGATACCGCTGGCAGCTGAGAGGTCCCTTGGATGCATCATTCTCATCTTCTGTGATCATCTTTGGTGGAATGGCTATTGACAGCTGCTGCTTTTCACTTCATGGGAAGGTGGCTGCATGAGAACTTGGGTAAACCCCGATTTGGTTTTCAGAGGTGCTAAATATAGAGTGCTCCTGTTGACTTCTCAGCTCTATTTTTCCAGATTAATTCGTTAGTGCAAGTTTCGTAATTGGCTATAAAGTAAAATTTCCTTAATGTAACATCACAAAGAAAACCTCCTTTATGTAGTAAACAGAAAAAAGACGTTAAACTATAAACTATCCTGTATCGCCCAGGAAACTGGTTTGATATTTAAACAAGGACAAACTTAAATGAGGTAATTCATGTTATGTCTGTCGACACAGTCAGTTGAACAAGGAAAATCAGTAACTATTTGTGGGAGGAGTGGCTCTCTTCAGAGAGAAAAGGTTTTCCTGTTGTTAATTAACCTAGGCTAGGGAACAATAGCTAATAGGTTAATGTGTGTGCACAGAGTTAAAAGCTAAACTCCTCCGTTCCTGCTAGCAGCCTTCAGATGTCCCGGGGCTTTCTGTAACAGGAGTGGGGAGCCGGGGGTAGAGCCGGGACAAGGGAAGGGCCTTTGCCAGGCATGTCAGAACTTGTCAGCAGGTCTCTCTTTTGTTCTGCAGTTAAGGAAACTGCTTGGAGGGATTCATTAATCTAACCCAACGACTCTAATGGCACATAGTTGGAAATGAATGAAGGTAGAAATTAAGATGTCATTATATTCCCAGGTCTGCAACTGGTTTATCAATGCACGCCGCAGGCTTTTACCTGACATGCTGAGGAAGGATGGCAAAGACCCAAATCAATTCACTATCTCGCGGCGAGGGACCAAGCTTCCCGAGGGCGGCCTGGTGGAGTCCGCCATCAGCACAAAGAACTGCATTCCCCTGCTGGAGGAGACTGCCTTCCTTCCCGCTGCCGCGCCGCTCGGCAAGACTGTGCCCTCTTCCAAGCCGGCTTCCCCGGGATCGGTCCTGGCTCGGCCGTCGGTGATTTGCCACACGACTGTGACTGCATTGAAAGATGCCCCTTTCCACTTTTGCCAGCCAGCTGACGTAGGCCAGACCACGGACCTGCAGCAGCCCCCGGCCAACGGCTTCACAGACAACTCCCTCTCCTACCATGAGGACGCATCTAAACTGGGACCTGGTGCAAATGCACAAAGCGGGCTCTTTAACACTCCTCCTCCAACCCCACCAGACCTTAACCAGGATTTTAGTGGATTTCAGCTACTGGTGGATGTTGCACTCAAAAGGGCGGCAGAGATGGAGTTGCAGGCAAAACTTATGGCCTAAATCCCCTTCCTTTTCCTTCCCCGTTTTGTTTTTCCAGGCAGGGATCTAACAGCTGTGTGGTTATTGCCACCCACATGATATCAAAAGACTTCACTGCATTATTATTATTATTTTTTTTTATTAATCTTATTTGCACAAGGGATTGCTGAAATGAAGCTTCCTGTCACTGAGATGGTCTTCAGTGGAGTATGGTCATTCCAAGAATTATAAACTTAAAGCTACTGTAGAAAGAAAGGATTGTGTGTTTGTTTTTTTTTTTAATGTTTTCTTTGTAGGTTTTTCATAATGTGAGATGGTTCCCAAGATCATGTGATTTGTTTTTGTTTCTTTCAGACTGTGCAATATCTAGTAATGATATAGGGTCTTCTTATCATTCCCATGCGGAACAGAATATACCGACACGCTGTCTAAAATAAATTTTCAATTTTTTTAACAATACGAACTTTGGATGATTATGCCTTTTTCCCATAATGTAATAAAATATTTTCTTTAAAAATGGATGCATACAGAGTATTTTGTTGAATACGACGAGCTTTGCAGAAAACACAGCTTTACTCTTGAAATAAATGGAAGTGAGAAATATTTTTTGAGCTCATACTGACTTTGTTTGGTTTAGAGAGCCATGCTAGCAGTTGTTGTTAACCAGATGTTTAAAGGAATGCTGAAAAGTGGGCCAGAAGTACCTGACTGTGTCTGCTATGTTGAGATGTTTTAAAGGGGCCAAAGGGAGCTATGTAAGCAACTCTCATTATCTTTCAGGGGGATATCTTAGGCCCCTCTAAGAGTTACAGCTTTTGTCTCCTAGAAATGCTTTAGGGCTGGGAGATGTGACAGCCCATGGGGAAGTTCTCCTGAAGATAAAATGAGGAGCCCAGAAAAGGGGTTGGGGCGAGTGTTCTTTGATACAGCTCCCAGACATCACTGGTGACAAATTTACAGGGGGGAGGACAAGGGCTCCCACTCTTACTCTTCCTGGACTAGCAATGACAAGGTTTTGACTCAGCATAACTCTAGTAGACTGAAATAGAAGAAACCGTATTGGGTTGAAATCTGAGTTCTGGGAGCCAGGTCTTGGTGAGATACTTAAACAGGTGGCTGACTAAGATTTAGAAGAGATCCCTGTTGTATTGGGGTGTATTCTGGCCAACAGAATCTAAGTTACCTTTCAGAAGAGGACTTGGCTATCAAAATTACTTATTACTGAAAAATGTGAAGACTTGCAGCTCACATTTCAACTTACTTGAATGTCAGGCACCCACCCTTATCCTTGCAACAACAGTGAAATAAGAGACCTCTAGAGGAAAAAAATCAGTTTCAGCTAATCCTTGAAAACAAACCAGTTGTCTATTGGGGAGGCTGGGGAGGGCTTCGTGGAGCAGGATAGCTGATGAATTTAAGGATATCGTTATGAGCAGAAGACTGCAATATTCAGACTGCAATGTGTATGCATTTTGTTTTGCTGTGGCCTTTATCTTTTTTTAGTGTCAGAAATACTCTTTATTTGTTCTCTGGAGTACTCTTTGAAATTCTACTGGACTTCTACCTGTCTTTAACCTTCAAGTTTAAAATTAATGATTATATTTTTAAAAAAAGACAAATAGTAAACACCGTGGCTTACTCACGTCTGCATCGGCATCAGTCACAGAGTCATCCTAGTATACTGTATGAATATAAAATCATTTTTTAAAATACTTTCCATTGAAATAAAGCTAGAAAAATAATTTTGAACGAAGTCAGAGATGGCTGTATACTTTGTCTTCAAGGAATAGCATGTGAGTCCAGAAAGAGCCTTGTGTCTTGTCTCTTTGGACACACTGTACTTCATACTTTGAGGCTATTTCTCCTGGGATACCTATGTATGTTTTTCTAGTTGTTTGTTTGTTTTTTTTAATGGTTAATTATAAAATAAAATGGAAATACACTTTTGTGTAACTGTGAGGTCAATGTTGAGGGACAAATTGGTCAATAGACATCCTTTTGTGGCATAGATGATTGTTCTCAAAGGGTGCTAGACACCCAAAGAGGAGTGTCATCTTCGGTAAAGGTTTGGAAGATGCTTCCTTGTCCACACGCAGGAAGGAGCGTTATTGCAACACTCCTTATGCCCACGCCTCAAGCACTGATGAAGGAAAAACGCCCGCATGCAAATGTGTTTGCATTGTTTGGTTTGTTTGACTTTTTTTTTTTTTTCTTTTTTTCTTTCCCTTCCCCAAAGCAGGTTGCTGGTGTGCTGTGGGGTAGAGAAAAAGTGCGGGACTCGGATCATTAAAGGGCATTCTCAGAGATCTTTATTCTTCATTACTCTGCCCTTTAAAATAAAAAAAAAAATGTCAGCAAGTTTAGAAAAAAAATTTAAGCTTTGCTTGCTGCGCTGACCAGTTCTGTAATTCTACTAGAACAGCTGCAGTAATGAAAATGAAAATAGGATGAGGAAGAAAGCTGTTGCCATTCAGGTTAACAGTTTTCATTGAAAGTAAAAGCCTGTGGTGTCTGTGCTGTTTTCATTTACCATTATGCCACACAAAATGGCATTAGTGTAACTGAGCACCAAAGTCCTGCCCTTGTGATGAGCACTGCATTTCCATTTTGCTGACTGACTTACCCCAGGGACTTCACTTGTGACCAGTTTTGCTTGAGGCCGGTTTTCTTTTTTTTTTTTTTTTAATTATTACTTGTGTTAAGGTTACACCTAGAAGTTCAGCTGTAGTCATAAGCCAAACCCCTTTGGCCGAGTAGCACCTGGCACACGTGTAAAAGCTTTTCCCTACCCTGAGGTGTTATTTAACTTCGAGGAAGAAAATGACATATTGAGTACCCACTAAAATAACATCAAAAGGGAGCTTTCTGTTTTCCCGTAATCTAGCCCTGGTAGTTTTGGTGCAGGCTATTGAAGTTTGTCTGAGTCCATTCTTTCAGAGCAGAAACTTGAAGTAACTCCAGATAAAATTATCAAAGGTAGGTAGATGCAGGGCATCGGGTGGAGCTAGGATCCAGAACTGAGCCGAAGTCTAGTGCCTAACAAACCAAAGGCTTCATGTGCTGGTCACTCATCCTTGAGAGAGCAAAGAAAAGTTTATTTTGGGAAACTTGTTTTACCATGGAATAAGAAAAAAAGGGAAAAAAAAAAAGGCAGTAAAAAGAAACAATGAGACAACACAGGCAGTTACTGCTGTTCTTGCTGCAGTGATAAACCTAATTGCAAGGCAGCTGTGTCAGAACCCAACTTTTGGCTGAAAACACGCTTAGATTGCCTCCGAAGACGAAGGGAAGGCATTGCCGTGTGTTACTGGAGACCGCGTGGCCAGCCAGGGCGTGAGCTAAGAGGTATGACAAATCTATGCCAGGGAAAACAGCTCACAGGCAGACTTCGTCAACCTTGTTTTCATAGCTTTTGTGTCTTGTAAACAACTTGTGGCAGCTGCATGTGATAAATCTCTGCGCAGCGCAGAAATGACAATAGGGAGGGAATCTTGAGACTGGCGTCGCCGCCTGTGTGCACGGGGGGGGTGTGGGGGGTGTCTCGCTGCCGGTTTGGGAGGGGGCTTGTGGTATCCCACACATCTCCCAGCTTCTGCCATGAGGTCAATGTACACGTCTATAAAACCGTTGAAGCTGTAACAGCTGGCCTCATGCGCTCTGGGGGAGGGATAGGGGTGCAGGGAGAGCACGAAACCGGGATAACTTGCTTCGGGAGGGCAGCGCAGCCGGTCTGCAAGCTCCCGGGTGGCCGGAGGGATGCTGCTGCCCGGGCCAGAGGGGTGCAGGCGGTAACCTCACTGGAAAAGGGATGGCAGGAGAGAGTGAAACCAGGGAGAGAGAGTGGGGGGGGGCGGTGGGGAATGATCACGGTTTTCCCCTTGGAGAGGAGGAAGCCTGCAGCGGGAAGCCCAGCCAGCAGAAGGTGCGGTGCAGCTGGGAGCCCGGGTGCACCATGACCCTGTTAAGTGTCACTTTTGTACCCATGGTATTTAGGCCATTTGCAGTTAACTGTGTGCTGCCTGTCAAAGTCTGTTTTCATTCGTCGTTTTTCTCACAGCGCTTATGCAGTTTTCTTGTTAACGCTTAAAACTTATTCCTGGAGTACTTTGTAGTTCTTTTAAAGCTCATTTGGGGTTTTCTTTTTTTTCTTCCTCCTCTTGGCATCTTGCAGTTGTCAACCTCCCTCCTGGCTTTTGCCAAATAGGGATTACTGGCACGGATACAGCGCATGTTCACTTTTCAGGACATTACTTGTTTTAAGTCTCTTGTTCGCCAGTTGCCGGAGTTGTTACGTCTCTATCCTGTTTCGCTGGTTCAGCGGGCTCTTCTCCCATAAACTGCAGTGTTCAGACTGAAGGAAAAAAGATTAGATTAGCCAGTCTCACTAGCAAAACGTCACTTAAAGCTGTTCCAGACATAACAACTACATCCACGTGTTCTGTATGCAGTTCAGTGTCTGTTGCAGTCCCTGTCACGACAATGAGTGCCTGCAGTTCTGCACACAGAGAAAATCACAAAGTGATGTTAGCTGTACTACAAAGTCAAAACTCAGACTACCTTCTCCGTCTGAATTTTGCATGCATT